GGTCTGCTGGAGGACACCGCGTTCCGCGTGCTGTCGCACGCGCTGGACGGCCTGCGCGCCGACCCGGTGGAGCACGCGGAGCAAATCGCCGCGACGGAGGGGGCGCTGCGCGAGCGGGTGCTGGAGCTGGGAGCTGCGAAGCTGCGGGCGACGGAGGAGGAGCACCGCGCCTGCCCGTTCCTCTCGCGGCGCGTGGGCGGCGTGCTGCTGGGCGACCTGCGCCTTGCGGGGGACGCCGCGTTCCAGGAGCTGGTGGCCAAGCGCGACGCAGTGGTGGCGGCGGGTCCCGGCCAGGACCGCGAGGCGCTCGCGGCGGTGGAGCGGCAACTGCGCGGGCGGGCGGGCGAGGTCGCCGCCGCGAAGAAGGCCGTGGACGCATTCCGCGCCGACGAGGACGAGGCGGTGCGTGCGCGCAACCCCTTCCTCGAGGCGAACGAGGTGCGGTTGGTCCCCTTGCGTCTCATAGGCGTTGATTATGATGAGCGTATAAAGTATTTTGAGCGCAAGCGTCGTAGATTGTTGGCAGCGGGTGACGCTGGAGGTATATCTGAAGTGGATGCTGCTATCATGCGTCGTATACGGTCGTTAGCTGATGCTGTGTTGCGTGACGAGGGCTTTTTGCGTGACAAACTTGGAGGCGCCTGTGTCGCGGATGCGTCTTCGGGGCCGCTGCTGTTCGAGCTGAATGTGCGCGAGGATGATCGTGTGGTGGAGTTAGTGAAGAAGGTTGGCGCGCTCCTGGTCGCCGGCTCCGTGGAGGATTCTCTGGAGGTGCTTGCGCTGCGTGAGAGGATACGGCTGCGGGTGGACGAGCTCCGTGGGTCGCACCTGCAGGCAGAGCGTGAGGTGGCCTCCGAGTTGAAGTCGCTGCGGTGTGAGTACTCCAGTTGCGTGCGGGACGCCAACCCCGCACTGCGCAGCGACGAACTGCTCGGCGTAATGGAGGCGGCGCGGCAGGAGGCGCTGGGGGCTGAGCACGCGGACGCGCACGCCGTCGAACCCATTGAGAGAGAAGAGTTCCGCCGGTCTGTGGCCCTTGTGGGCGACACCCGCTGCGTCTCCGCCGCGCTTGAGGCGTTCTGCATATCGGAGCAGCGGCTGCGCAGCGCACAGGCGGCGCGGTGCGGGCGGCAGGAGTTGCAGGGGTTGTCCGTGGCGCGGGACGTGGCGCAGTGCAAGCACCGGCTCTGGCGCTCCCGGCAAAACCGCCGCTGCCCCGCGCCCCCGCTGTTTGAGGAATACGCTGAGGAGGACGAGGGGTTGTCGATGGCGGAAGAAGAGGCCCTGCTCCCACCCGCGGCGGTCGGCCCGTTGGCGGCGGCGGACCCCTACTACCTGTACCTGCAGCACTGCAAGGCGCAGCAGCCGCTGAAGGGGGCCTCGTCCGCCCGCCGCTGCCTGGAAGAGCTGCTGCGGCTGCGCATGCGGCAGCTTGGCTCTGACGTCGCCCAGGCGCAGCGTGCCGAGCAGCGGGCGGAGGCGGAGCTTTACAAAAAGTACCCGTACTTGGGGGAACACTTCGAGGCCCTTTCTTCCCTGCACATCCAGCCCCGACACGACCCAGAGTTCCTGCGCCTGGTGGAGGAGCGGCAGGAGCTGCTGAGCCCGCCAAAGGACCTGCTGGAGAA